TCTGTAGTAGTTTCCTCCATCCCTGGCTTTACGCTGTACTTTGCCTGATGTGAGCTGATTGGTGCAGTATATCTTGATGTTAGGATCCCATTTCAGAAATGTTCTGACATTATCTATTTGGCAGTTTGAAAAATAGTATCAAACTCCCAATGCATTTGAGCGCACGTTTCAACCCAGCAAGCGTAATATCCATTTCCTCCAGTGCAAGAGGCACATTAGGACCAACTCCAAGTGGATTCAATTCTAGGAATGCAATATGTGACTCCACACAACCCCACACATGCACACACGGCCTGCTGAGAGGCACCAAAAGGAATTAACTTGATTTGATTTCCAGCCTCTCCCAGCAAACACACGGGGCTGTCCCTACCAAGGAATGGATGCTGTGAGTTCTGTGAGTTCTGTTTTCTGCACTGTTGGCACCTCACCTGCCCATGGCACAGGGAGGGATGGAGAGAGGAATCCTCACCCAAAATAAAGGGAATTATTAGGAATATTTTCGCAAGAGCATGTCGAGATAGGATAAGGGGGAATGGCCTTAAGCAGAAGGAGGGCAGGGCTGGATGGGAGATTGGGAATTGGGAATTGTTCCCTGGCAGGGTGGGCAGCCCTGGCACAGGTGCCCAGAGCAGCTGGGGCTGCCCCTGGATCCCTGGCAGTGCCCAAGGCCAGGCTGGACACTGGGGCTGGGAGCACCTGGGACAGTGGGAGGTGTCCCTGCCATGGCAGGGGTGGCACTGGGTGATCTTTAAGGTCCCTTCCCCCCCAAATTCCCCAATGGTTCTGTAATTTCTCAAATAATTGGCAATGATTACAAGGCTGGGCACATCTCTACCCAGGCTACAATCACCAAGTCTCCTGAAGGATGTGTTCTCTTTCAAATGTGCTTAATGTGTCAATAGGAAAAAAATATATGCTGTAAATTTTGCTGTAATAATTATTGGAAATGTTTGAGCCTTGCTGGAATTTGGCAATAGCTTCACTAAATATAGGACTCCAGGCACACTTAATTTAACAGGAGATTTATCAGTGGTCTTATTGACCCAAAATTCCTCTTATTTAACATTTATAAGTTTTTTTACCACACAAATTTCTCTGTACCACAACAAATAAAATTTATACTGGGTTAGCTTCACCAATATTTGTCAAAACATTTTCCAACAACTTCTGGAATAGAGCAGCCAGGAGATAACTAAAGCACCTGAAGTAGGGCATATGAAACACCATAACTTTTTACAGTTTTGCCCTAAAGAAAATGCAGCCAATCTCTGCTAATATCCCTTTCATTTACACGCTTTGCTACAAGATTTCCCTAAAGGCATTAGTGGCTGGCAAACAACTCCCAGCACCTTGATTACAGGAAATCATATTTCTCCCGATCCCAAGCTTCTTCATAAGTACTGAAAATGCTTTGCCTACTAAAATACATATTCTTAACTTACCAGTAATTCTACACCTCGAACCACCCAATTTCCTTCCTCTCCCAGCACAGGAACCACTTGTATTCCTGCTCAATATATCCTAACTCCTGCTTTACTCTTTGTTTTTTTCAATAGAGATGACTCTGCTTCCACATCAAAAGTGGAATCAAGTAAGTTTGGAGAATATTTTGGGGGAAGAGGGAGAGAAGCAAGATTTATTAGTGAGGGTTACAAGATGTTTCAAAGATAACGGCAAGTTAAAACGTACACATTTTTACCTGAATTCCTTTGAATTTAAAGAATTATGGAGGTTTGAAATGTCCCCACTGCTCTGACCCAGACTGAAGGGTGAGCCCCAGAAAATGGCATATCTTCAGAACAACCCTTGCACCTCTTTTCTTACCTACAGATCACAACCCAAGCTATCCAAATTTAACTCCTTGCTCTCATACACCCATCAGACTCCAGCTCCCAGTGATTCCCAGTGACCCAGGTGCCTTTGCATTTCATTTCACATCAATTAAAACACAGAGACCAGCTCCCAGTATGCTGCAAACAAAAGTGTTGTATAAGAGACTACTCCTATTATTCAAATCCTGTTAAGACACTGGACTGGGAATGTTTTCACATACACAGGGCCAATTAAAGCACACAACGTGCCCAGCTCTGCAAGGACAGGAACATTTCCAGATTTAAATTTGCAGGACACATCCCTGCTGTTGAGAAAACACGAGCATCTTGGCAAACAAAACCACAGTTTCTGGTTTCATTCAGCCTGCTCTTTTCTTTTTTTTTTTTTCCATTTTCCTGGTGATTCTAGCAGTGAAAGGCAAGCCTTATTTACTTGTTGAAGTGAACTCACACCAGGTGACATTGCTGGGGCTCTCTGCAGCTGAGGAGAGGCCGGAGGAGCAGAGGAAGTGCTGCAGGCCAGGCTCTGACTCAGTAAGGCACATACACACAAAGGCAGAAATATTTCATGCCTCTGCTCCAATCTGACAATTTTCTCTGGGGGGAAATTAAGGATCTACAAGTGAGGTCCAAATCGCAGCGATTTGCAATCCTGCATCTTCCCCAGGCTCCATCTGTTTGTCTCTCTGCCTGGTGAGAGGGCCCTTCCAGCACCAGTGCCCAAGCCTCTCCTCCACAGCAGATGTTGCAGAAAGGAGACGCTTCCAGAGGTTAGTCCTCAACAAGGAATTTAATCCAGGCTGAAATAGTTGTGAATTGACATCTCAAGGCATTTAATAAAACCCTTCCTTTTCAGTTTTTCCATCCCACCCCACCACAGTCTTTGACTGTAAAGTTCATGTGTTGGTTTAAGCTTTGGTTTACTTGGAAAACAACTGCAGACAGATGTTCCAGTCCTGGGGAAATACCATCCTGTCCCTGAAAATGCCACATAAAATGACAATTCATAACAAATAAAGTAAAGAACTGAAAGGAAACGCAATGCCTCATAACCTAACCAGCAGGCTTAAGTAAAATAAAAACTGAGAGAAAATGCCTGGAATGAAAAACAAAGATATTGGACATTACCTGAAAAAGTTTTAGAAATTTTGTACCTTCTTACAGGATTAGTGTTATGAAAATTCACTCACAAGCTTTAGTATTAGTGACTAGACTGGATGTGTCAGTGAATGCTGGAATTCTTCTAGGCAGAAAATTAGACACATCTAACAAGGCACAGTCCCTCATTGTTAAAGGGCTGGAAATCCAAGAGTTCAGTGCTTGAAATGATACTTGAAGTGACAAAGATCCGAACTTGGCCGGCAGAGGGGTCAGAGATTTGAATAAGATTTTCATAATTCTGGGGCAGAGTGAACACTGGTCAGAAGCACCTTTTGCACCTCATTTATAAACAGGAATATGTGACACTTCATCAAGTTCCAATACAGCAAAGTTTGAAAGAGCACAGAGAAACTTTCCTTTATAGTGCAAACACACAACTTTGGATCCACTGCCAAAGCCCAAGATGGTAGGGTTTAAGGAAATCTGGATATTTTACATTCCCTATTCAAGCCTGTTATAATGCAAACTAAAATCATATTAAAGATAATCAATTTTCATGCTCCAGGCAATAAGGAGATCACCTTGGGAGAGGAGGCAGAGAAGATTAATATGTATTTTGGGGAGGTTTCCACTTATAATAAAGTTTCAGGAACTGGCTACTTTTCTGACAAGGATATCAGGACACAGAGAATATTCCAGCCAGTTTAGAATAACTGTTTCTAGGGTATCCCATCCAGTACAGAGATTGATTTTTTTATTTAGAGAGAGGATCAACTTCCCATAAGCCACTGCCTTTGTATGGACATGCAGTAGCAGCACCTTTTAATTGACCATTAATCCAAGCTTCATTAGAAATAGGGAAAAGCTTCATTTTCTCATCAGTAAATGCCAGTTGCTCCAGTACAACTATTTTCAATTGTATTGGGGAAACTTCTGCCCTTTGGACCATATTTTACATTTATTTTCTATTTCTTTTTGAATCAGATTTAACACACAGGCACTACCTCAATGTTGCTAGTTCTGTTTTCATTTACAAATTTTCCCTATGAAAAAAAGGATTTCCTGAATTATGACTTTTAAAATATTGTTCTGATCCTTTCCAAGTGGATTCCTTCATTTTGTGACAGTTTCTGAATCATATAGAGAAAATCATAAAATTCTTGCTGACGTAACACAGATTGAGACTCTGATTCTCCAGCTTGAAAGAAAATTAGTGGTTTCTTGCTGCAAACTCTACTGGCATTTTGCATCCTGTACTTTTGAGTTTTATTACTTCACATAAACCTCGCTGCAAGCTCACTTTCTTCTGGCATTCCACTTTTTATCTCCTCCCTGTCTCCTTTCAGGAATTGTATTTATCAAATGCTTCTCCTACACTTGGCTGTTAACTCTCTGTCCCCACCTCACCCGTAACTTTGCAAATCCCAGAATTTCAGTCTGATTTGGGTTGGAAAAGATGTTAAATCCCACCCATTCCCACCGCTGCCATGGCAGGGACACCTTCCCCTGTCCCAGGTGCTCCCAGCCCCAGTGTCCAACCTGGCCTTGGGCACTGCCAGGGATCCAGGGGCAGGGCCTCAGCATCTTCACATGGAATAATTTCTTCCCCAACTTCCCATCTAAATACACCCACTTTCAGTGTAAAGCCATTCCCTGTGTCCTGTGCCTCCATTCCTTATCCCAAGCCCAGCTCTCCGGGATGCTCTCCCCGGAGCATCCCGTGGAGCCCTTTAAGCCCTGCAAGGGGCTCTGAGCTCTCCCTGGAGCCTTTTCTTCTCCAGATGAGGCCCCCCCCAGCCGTGTCAGTGGCACAGATCGCTGTTTTGGGTGGATTTTTTACAGAACTCCGCGTTCTTCCCACGCGTGCGGCCCGGCCCGCAGCCCCAGCCGGGCCGCACCGGCCGCGGCGCTCCCGCCCGGCCACGGGCCCAGCCGCGGGGAGCAGGGAGCAGGGCCCAGGCTCCTCCCGGCTCCCTCCCGGAGCCACCTGGAACTCCCCGGCTCTGCCTCTTCCCCTTCCCCCGCCCGGCTGCGGCTTCCGGGCGGCCCCGGCCCCGCCCCGGCAGCGCGGCCTGTGCGGAGCGGCCGCGGCCATCTCCGGGTGCGGGCAGGTGCGCGGGGAGCTCTGCGGCTGCTGGGGACACCAGGGACAGCCCCAGAGCTCCGGGGACAGCCCCAGAGCTCCAGGACTGACAGGGAGAGGCAGGGGGCGGCCCGCAGGGTGGGCAGGCAGGCGGGCGGGGTGAGCGGGGGATGCTCGGCCCCCGGAGCCCGCAGAGCCGGCGCAGCGCAAACCCGCCGGGGCTGGGGCTGCGGGGGAGCCCGGCCTCCGAAAAACCTGCTGGTTGTCCTTGGAACACTGCTGGGGAAGGGGGGATGGATGGCAGCAGCTCGGGGTCATGGCGGGTTTCCGTGAATCTCCAAAATAATCGCTCCGGGAAGGGCCGGTTCCCTCCCCGGAGCATCCCCGGGCGCGTCCGGTGCCCCAGGCGCGGTGGGGATGGGGTGGGCGGGCGGCAGGGCTGCTGGATGGGCCCCGAGAGGGTAAACTGCACCTAAATAATGGCCCAAAAGCCTGCCCAGGGTGCTTTTAGAGTTTCCCTCGCTGGGAATGTTCCAGAAGTGTCTGAGCGCCGTGCTGTGCCATGTGCTCGGGGATGCGCTGATGGGAACGTGTGAGCTGCTGTGGTCCCTCCCAGCCTGACCCTCTCTAATATAAGAAATAATAATAAGAAGAGTTAGACCCACTCTAATAATAAGGAATTAATGTTAGTCTAAAAATATCCCTTCAGCATTGATATAAAAGCCAACCTCTGCAGGTGTTTTAAAGTAATTACAATAATGTGACTGTATACAGCTTTTAAAGCACGGTAAATGTAAAGAACTATCTGATTTATTTGCCCCTCCCAAATAAACCGTATTTGTGGTGATGTGTATCTTATTTTTGTGGAGTGGAGCTCTTATTAAATGGTGAGGTGCAGTCTCTGCAGTGTTGCACTTTGAAAAATCTCAGTTTTATGGAGTGGAGTATTACACAGGTGCTGTGACAGTCATTTCTCAGCTGCCTTTTGTGTCCAGGCTTGTGCTCACCCTGCACAAGGCTCATCATCTGGAGGAGTCTGTTGGGATGACAGAGGTCCCTTGTGAACCTGCTGAAGGTTTTGGCCTCCAAGCACTGCCTGTCTCCCTTATGCACTGGCAACTAAAGTTGGGGATGTGGGCTTATTCTTTCTGGAGCAAAACCCACCCCTTCAATGTCTAAAAACATAATTTCCTTGTGAATGTTGTCAGTCTGTGACATGATTGATCTTTTTGTAGTAAAAGTTTTGTTTGCTTGGTTTTCAAACAGAAATGTTCTGAATATGGACAGTTCCACCAAAATCTTCAGGTTTCAGCAGGAAAAAGATGTGGCAGTGTGAGCTTGTGAGGTGGCTTTAGCAATTCCTATCTGCATTCTGGCCCGTGACAAGTTCATTACACCAATTATTGCATCAAGAGAGCAGAAGCTCTATAGGAAACTGTTGTAGTTAGAGACTAACTTGTGTTACTGTGGCTGCTTTACCTCTTGATAACTCTGTAATTACCTTGTCACCACTGTTTAATGCTTCACCTATGCAGAGGATCAGCTCATGGCATCACTGAGGGGATCAGGGCCTGGAGGAGAAGCTGCTGCCCCTTGGGAGGGCTCCTGGGGTTGCTCTGAATGGCTGAGTTAAGGACTTGTGCAGGAAAAGCAGGATGTTTGTTATGGGAAGTGTGGGTGAGGTGGAAAAGCTGCACCTGAGCAGCTCTGGTTAAAATCACTGGTGACAGGGGAAACACCCAGAAGGAGCAGTAGTGCCAAAAATCCAAAGGAGGACATGTCAAAGACATGGATGGCTGGTTTTGTAGTGGGCTTTTTTTCTTACACAGTAAGGGTTTTGGAGGACTGAGGGCAGCTGATGCTTGTGAATTAACCCTCAGGGTGCTGGCTGCTCTGGCAGTGTGTAATTTCCTTACCAGGTGGCAGCCTCACCTGTGGGGCTGCAGGGTGGTTGTTCAGGTGTTGGTGCTGGAAGAGCTTCATGGGAACAAATTGGGGGTCCAGCTGTGTTGGGGTGTCAAAATTAGACAGCAGCCTCCAGCCCAGTCAGCTCTTCTGCCTGGGACACAGCTGACCTAAATTACACTTAATTCTGAAAGGAAAAGCCTTTCTGCTGGTCAGTTGTTATTTCACAGTTCACAGAGCAATATCAGAGAATGGTTTGGGTGGGAAGTGACCTTAAAGCCCATCCAGTGCCACCCAGGGACCTTAAATCCCATCTCAGAATTCCAGCCTGGTTTGGGTGGGAAGGGACCTCAAATCCCATCCATTCCACCCCAGCCATGGCAGGGACACCTCCCACTGTCCCAGGTGCTCCCAGCCCCAGTGTCCAGCCTGGCCTTGGGCACTGCCAGGGATGCAGGGGCAGCCCCAGCTGCTCTGGGCACCTGTGCCAGGGAACAATTCCTTCCCAGGATGATGATGGAGCAGGGGTTCAGCAATTTGAGCAGGAGCTCTGTTCCCATGTCACATTCTGAGCACCTGGAGCTCCTAAATCCATCCTGCAGGCACTGCAGGTCCCTCTGACATTTCCTGCAGCACGGTGCTCCCTGCCTGTGGAGCTGGCACTGCCCATTCCCAGCAGTTGTCAGGGAGGCTGGATCCACATCCCATAACTCGAGGAGCCAGCACTTGTTAACTCTATTTGTTTTTATTATGGACATCGATCTGCCAGTCGCAATAATGCATTTATGGACATTTTTCTGCAAGCGCAGCGCTGGTGGCAGTTTTTACTGACAACTTGAGTCATCTGGACAGGAGTTGAAAATACGTTTATTTTATTGACGGATTGTGCAATTCTCTCGTTCACCCAGTGTTCATAAGATAACTGGACTGGTGAGGAGAATGTAACTGATGGGAATATGGAGGGTGAAGTTTTAATTTTGGGAGGTTTGGAATCTTTTAGGTAGTGACAGGTTGCAGAACGTGTTTGGGGTAGGTTTGGGAGCTTTAACTTCATTAATGCTGTAATTAAAAAGTGAAAGGCTCGGTGTCATTACAGCAGAATTCCAGACCTGAATTCCCTCCCTCTGCTGCTAACTGGGAATGTTACTGACCAGTAATTGTGCTGATTTATCTGAAGGTATAATGGGTAAAATCTTCCTAATGGAAGAAAAAACCCCTGTTGAATTTAGCATTTCTGACATATCATCCAGCACAGGTGTGCTTGGGCCAGCATGAAGTTTAACACACAGCTGGAGGAGCAACCAAACTATAAAACCAAACCTGTGCTGAAGTATTCTTCATAAATGCAAAATGCAGTTTTAAAACTGAGCTGCTTATGGTCCAGGCAACTGCTTAAAATGTATTGAATGCCAATAAAGCTTGTGTGGGTTTGGATTTTAATGAGGTTGAGTAATTGCAAAAGTTATTTGGAATATGTTGCTATTTTGATGCTTCTTGCTAATCCTTTTTCAAATTGTTTCCTTATTTACTATTTTATATCTGCACACCTAAATTACCATGTCCTGGTGGCAGTCAGGAGTATCAGGTCATTCTGGGCCAAATGAAATGATACAGATAGTTTCAGATATCTTTTCAAGTCACTTTTGAAACTTGGACAGCTGAAATTCTCCCTCATGCAGCAGAGAGTCTGAAGGTTAACCTGAGCAAATCACCTTTAATTGCGAAGAAGAAGAGGGGAGTTCATTAAAACAAAGGTTCTGACTTCTCTGCTTTTTGAGTGAAATAGGAGTTAAATATTAAAATAGCAGCACTGATCAATGGCCTGGAGTCTTGAGCAGCTTGGCAGCAGGGAGCAAATAATAATTTGAGTTTTGACCTGATGGATGCATTTTAGCTTTTAACTTTTATACAAATGCCACCTTTTTGTGCAGACCAAGGCAATCAGTATTTTAAGATATATATATATATTAGCAGAGCCCAGTGGAGTCAGGAGTGTTTTGTTGTGTGAATGCTGCCATCTCTGTGCTCCACGTGCAGATTTAGGTCCCTCCAGGTAACCCTGCATTAGCAGATAGCAAGAATTAGTGCTGTCTTGTCAGTGTTGCTGCTGCATAATCATCATCAGGAATACTGAAATTATCTGAGTGCTTTAGATCAGTCAGCACAAGGCAAACAATGCTCTTATCTCAGCTTGTTTGTACATTCAAGTGTGCAGAAGGTCTGTTAATTAGTTACACTTTTTAATAAACACCTAAAGTATACTTAAGGCCCTGTTAAAAGATTAATTTTTCTGTTTCACATCATAAAACCAGCAGATGAGTGTTCAGCATGTGGCAGTACACGGGCAGCACGAGCCTGCTTTGGCAGCCTGGGCTGGTGGTGGGGACAGGACAATTCTGCTGTCACCCATGTCCTGCAGAAACAACTCCCACAATTCACATTCCCTGCACTGGGCCCTGCTGGATTGAAGGGTGGGCAGAGGTGCAGTGGGAAGGGTGTGGGAAAAGGGAAATCCCTTGCACAGTCTCCTGTTGACACCAGAAATACCTCTGGTTCTTGGCTGACTCCATAAAATATGAAGATTTATGGTTGATGGGGTTTACTCAAGCTGGCCACAGTTGGTTTGGGGGTTTTTGTTTTGGTTTTTTTTGGTTTTTTTCCTGAAATATAGAGGAATTAATTGGATTTGAATCCAGCTGAGTGGGCCTGGATCATAATTCCCTTTTAACTTGGAGGTTTAGGCAGTGGGATGGAAGTAAGATCTGGCTCTGTGGCCAGGGTTGTGCTTTAGGAAGGTAAAATTGGGGTCCAACAAGGCAAAGTGCTTCAGCTGGAACAAACTTTTAAAATAAATATTTTAAATCCCTGAAATGGTTTGGGTTGGAAGGGACCTTAAAGAACATCTGTTCCCACACCCAGGAACAGATAGTTCCAGTGTCCCAGGTGTCCCAGCCCCAGTGTCCAGCCTGGCCTTGGGCACTGCCAGGGATCCAGGCTGGGCACCCTGTGCCAGGGCTGCCCACCCTCACAGGGAAGTAAAAAATGCTTGTTTTGTTTTATTTTTTCTTTTAACATACCAATAATACTATTTTCACTGATTGCACCAGTTTAATGTACTTTATTTTATATTATTGTTAATGCAGCTGGCCCTGGATTTAAATGCATTTCAGTTGCCTTTTTGTGCCATTATATTTGATTCCTCAGCGAGACTTTCTAAGAATATGATTAACCCTCTGGGTCATCTTATAATGTAATTATTAATGATTGATTCTGTTTATCCTTGGGATCAATATGAGAAGCAAAAATGCTTTGGCATATATTTGGGGTTGATTTCTTGCATTCAGTAAACATGATCTGGTGACAAGACTGGTATTGGTTTATTACTCGGAACGTGTTTGATGAATCTGAAGTGTGTAATTAGTTTTATATAATGATGGTGATATGTGGGGTTTTTTACATGACTTATGTTAATATGGCCAATAGTGTTAACATCTCCTGCCACTAATAGTTAGGATGGGGATGTATAGTAATTGATCTTCCTGGGAGTGCTGTAATGTAAAAACAATTCCGGCTGTTTGAAGTATATTTTACAAGTGTGCATTGGGCCTTTGGGATGTTATACTGAAAAACCCAATTGTACAGTTACCATGGGAACCCAATTAGAATAGATTGCTGGATTTTTTTTTTTCTTTCTCAGGCTTTCATCTTGACCAAAAATCTAATGTACTTTAAATGTTTTCATACGGAATTTTGTTCGTATAGTCACTTGGTGTAATGGCTGGTTTTTAATTTTACTGCTGAACCAGAGTGTTCTGTTGAGGGTCCCGAGGACTTATCCTTCAAGGAGAATCTTCCTTTAGTGTTTAAAAGTTGATGAACTGAGAAAAAATACTTTTTATTAATCCAAGTTCTTACTGCCATCACATGTACTCGTCAGGCTGCAGTCCTGGGGGAAAAAAAACAGGGAAGTATCTCAAAGCTCAAGGACTTCTGTTCTAGATCATCAGCAAAACACGGCTGAAGAATTTCCTGCCCTTCAGGGAGCTGTTTTTGATGTCACCTCTGGCTTTTCTTCACCTTTTTGGCCTGCTGACGTATCCAGAGGTTTGGGATGCTCACTGTGATGTGTTTGCTTCCTGGACCATTGAGCCCCTGCAGGTGTTTGTGTATCTCCAGGTGTCCTGGGAGCATCCTGCTCCCTCAGCACAGCTCCTGGGTGGCAGCAGAGCTTGTGGGCAGCTTGGGAACATCTTGCTGGAATGGCCAGGGGAAGCTGAGGCAGGAGGGATGGAGATGGATATCACTGGTCCTTGTTGGCAGCTCTGAGCTAGTGAGGATTGGTCACCTATTTATTTTTCCCATGCTGCTGGTCAATCCCTGCAGTTTATCCACTCTGCAAATGCAGGAGGGAATTTTCCATTTTTGGTGAAGCCATTGCTGGCATGAAGATTTCAGTTTTTCGAGGTTTGGTTCTGGTGTCTCAGTTTCCACTCCATGGAAGTGGTGTCACTGAATTGATCAATGTGTGTTGCTCCAAAGAGGTTTTGGTGGTGTCACTGAATTGATCAATGTGTGTTCTCCAAAGAGGTTTTGGTGGTGTCACTGAATTGATCAATGTGTGTTCTCCAAAGAGGTTTTGGTGGTATCACTGAATTGATCAATCTGTGTTGCTCCAAAGAGGTTTTGGCTTTTATTGGTATCACTGAATTGATTTATGTGTGTTCTCCAAAGAGGTTTTGGCTTTTGGTGGTATCACTGAATCTGATCAATTTGTGTTGCTCCAAAGAGGTTTTGGCTTTTATTGGTATCACTGAATTGATCTTTGTGTGTTCTCCAAAGAGGTTTTGGCTTTTAGTGGTATCACTGAATCTGATCAATGTGTGCTGCTCCAAAGAGGTTTTGGTGGTATCACTGAATTGATCAATGTGTGTTGCTCCAAAGAGGTTTTGGCTTTTAGTGGTATCACTGAATCTGATCAATGTGTGTTGCTCCAAAGAGGTTTTGGTGGTATCACTGAATCTGATCAATTTGTGTTGCTCCAAAGAGGTTTTGGTGGTATCACTGAATTGATCAATGTGTGTTGCTCCAAAGAGGTTTTGGCTTTTATTGGTATCACTGAATTGATCAATGTGTGTTGCTCCAAAGAGGTTTTGGCTTCTTGCCTTCAAAGCCACCCTCTCCCTCAGGAGAACCCTTCAGCTCCACGTGAAGTACTGACCTCCTCCAGCAAGACAGTCTTTGCAAGGCTGAGGTCCATTTTGGAGGGATGGTTTGGACTTTTCAAGGGTTTTTTTTCTGTATGGTTTCCCCCATTCTGGCTTTCAGAAATCTTCCAACCTCCATGGTTTGGTGATGATTGGTTTTACCCAAGCTCTGGTCACCCAAGGAAAGCCTTGTTGGGTGAGCAGATGGAGCTCAACCAGGGTTTGAAATGAGCTTCTGGATAAATCTGTTGAGGCAAAGATTTCAGCTTTACCCTTCGGGAAGATCTAAAAAACCTGAGTGTTGCTGGGTGCTTTGAAATACCCAGCTCTGAACTGATGATAGAAGTAAATTGCTATTTTATTTTTAGCTCTATCACAGATATTTTAAGTAGTTCTATTAGATTGCTCATCTGCCTGACCTGCATTTAAAAATGCAGTGAGTTCTCTTTGCAATGCCTGCCTTGTTATATAGTTAAAATACTAATTATTCATCCTAATTTTAAACACTTAAGTAAGATGCAATATTTAGATTAAATGTTGCTGTTTGGTTTTAAGTGGCTGGGAAGTGGCCATGTGTTCTGTCAGTGCCTTGGACTTCAAGGAGAGGTTTTGGAAAGCCTGGGATGTTCATATAATTTCATTTTTAAGAGATTTATCATTCCTGAAGTGGATACAGTTATCCCTGCCCATGGAGTGGTGATTCCCTGACTTCAATGGAGCAGTTCCCATCGAGGCTGGCTGTGAGTCAGGATTGTGAAGCTGAGCTTTGGCACATAATCTCCTTGGTTTTAAAAAATACAGTGTTTGTACCACATCTTTCCAAGACAGAGTGATATTAGCAGAGTGGCACTAAAGAAGAACATAGCGGGGGGAGCTAAATGCCAAAGGAATAGGAAATATACTTTATTTCCAAGGGGAGAGCAAAAGGGAACCAGTTGTGGTTTTTAATTATATAAATAATGTTAAAGGCTAGAATTATAATAATTGAAGTTAAAATGTTTTAGGTACTCAGTGGCATGAAATCTGTGCTTTTAAACCCAGACTATATCACAATCACTTGTTTTAAAATCACTTTCATGCCTTAAAATGTGGCATTTCCTAAATCACAACAGGCTCTTCATTTTTCTCAGTCACTTAGAAGTACATGACAGCCTGTAAAAAATTATTCAATTAATACTTTTATCTTTGGAGGCATTCTTATTCCAGATATCAGAGTTGTGCAGTGCTTGTTGTGCAAGAACTCTTCAATGTGCCATCTGTTGATTTTTTTTGTTTGACTCATGACGAGTGGGTGACTTAACATTAAAATTCCATGTTGTTTGTGAAAAAAACCAAAGTCCCTTTGGAAATTCTGTGTACTGAAACTTGGAGCTCGTTTAAAAACTGATGCAGAGGTGGATATTCTGGATATTGAGTTCTCCCTGTGGAATTCAGATTTAACAATCTAACTGGGAATTTATTTTTATTTTTTTTTCCTTGCAGGTGGAGCCTTTTCCTCCAGGATGGCATCAAGGATGGTTCCCAAAGTAAGTTTCCAGTGCAGTGCCTTTGCAGGGAGGTGGCCCCTGGAAGTCCAGCATTACAAAAGAGTTCACGTAACATAGTTTGTTTTTTCCCCAGCGCCCAGCAGTCAGGATTAGGAATCCAGTTGACAAGATTGATGCTGCATTGTAAATCTCTGTAGCTCTGTCATGGTTGGTAACAGGCATCAGTGGACCTTTCCCCAGCACGTATCCATCTGCCACAGAGCATAAATAACAGGACAGAGCTGCTCTCTCCGTTTTGTTGCTGTTTCCATTCCCTAATAATAAACACCTCCCTGGAAAACAGGCTTAATTTTGAGGCTTGATGCTTCAGTGATGTAAGTGTAGGTCAGTGACATTGTAGCAAAATAAGAAACATGGATGTTTATCCAAATATTCAGGCAATTTACTCTGCTGAGAGAAGGGCATCAACACATTGTTAGTCTATAGCTGTCTCCCTGAAATAGTTGAAATGAACTTTGAAGACACAAATACTCTTTTTTTGTTGTGTGGAATACCTATTTTTGTAACATTAGTGGTGTTCCTCTAGGAAAACACTTCTGGTACAATCACACCTGCATTTCTAACTATTCCTGTTGGCAACTTCTGTCACTGCTCTAAGTGTCTGAATAGTGGCATCTCTTGTGGTTTTAATCTGCTTTACATAATGTCATGTGGCTTAGGAAGGAGCATTTTGCTGGTTTGTGTTGTTTACCTCTTTTCTACAAGAGCAAATTGGTTTTGTTTTTTAAAACAGAATGGTTAAGGAAGAAATCCAGGTAAATAAATTATTTCTTCACTTTTTTCTTTTGAACCATCATCTCTTTAGTCACATTTATGCATCTTCCAGTTGCAAACACCTTTTAGCAGAGGGAGGGAGAATCCCTGGCTCCCTCTCATTGCAGGCTAGGTGTGATATAGCTGGCAAGTGACACGAAACTAATAATTTATTATCTAACCTTTTCATTTCCCCCTCTCTCACGTGGAGTTGAAAGGTGCAGCTTGAGCTGTTCGGGGAGTTTTCCCCTTTTGATATGTGGGAAGACAGAAGGTTTGAGGTAAAACACTCCAGCTCCGCTGTGGGGACTGTGCAGACACTTCCCTGTGCTCTGGATGCATATTAAATATTGATGTCCTGATGTAATTGGTGATTTTCGGGCTGTTTTCAGTGTGTGATCAGTTTGCACAGCCCCACATTGGGGTGACACCCAGCGTGTGCCTGGCCATGGATTTGCAGGAATCAATTATCACCCGTGCAATGTGCTGAACAGTTTTTAAGGAGGCTGCTGAAAAATGCTTTGGGGAAGCAGGCAGACGTGGGAATTTTCCATAATCACTGCCTGTGCCTCCTACTCCATCCCTGATTCTGTTGCAGTGACCAGAGATGAGTTTTGAGTTTGGGTTGGGCTGGAAGGTGGCTGGGCTCTGGGTGACCAAACCTCAGGATATATCCATGTTTAGGAATTTGGGTGGGGGCTTGTGGTTCTTCTGACAATGTGGCAGTTTCTGTATTTCATTAGAAAACTCTAAATGTCATTCTGCTCCTCACTGAATTCCTGGCAGTTAAATTTGAAGTTAGTAAGTGGATTCTTGAACTAACCCTGATGCTTTGCTCTGTTAATAGTGAAACCCTTGTCCTGACTCGAGCAGGGATGGACAACTGTAGGAAAATCCAGATGTGTGTGTGCCAGGACTATACTCTTGTATTTTTATACAGATCTTTGCAATACCTCATCTGTCTGTATTTATTTTCCTGTATTTTGTGTTTTTAGTGAATCCCTAAAACACATTTTGCTGCTCTGTTCACTTCAAAAATGTCAGCAAAATTCTTTCCTCACACACAGCTCGGATTCCTGACTCTCCTTCAGCTTAAGGAGCACTATTAATGGTTTTGTTCATATTGCTTAGATTTATTTTGTTACTATTCTCCAGCTCCTACTCTTCAGGTAGAGCTATTTTGGTATTATAAAGAATGATGGATTATATAGGAAAGTTTCTTTTGAAGCACTCCTGATATTGTGCAATGCACTTGGGGGTCAGCTACACTTGACTGATGCATGATTTATCCCATGTCCCTGCCACTTCCTGAGATAAAGCTGCTATTTTATCAAAAATGCCAGCAAGTGTGATTTAGAATTTATACCCCTCCTTTTTCAAATAATTGTTCTGATTACTTTCTGGCATGGCAATAAAATGATAAAGGTAATTGCACACAAATGTGAGATAGCACCAAAATACAATAAAATTAACCTGAATTAGCTTGACTTGTCGATGAGAAGTATTTATGAAATGTATTTTTGCAATAAGGGAGACTGATATTATAGCTGGAAGGTGAGTTATTGCCTTAATGTAATACTGTTTGAAATTTAAAAAAGAGACTGTTACAGTTGAGGGTGATTGTGCCTTTGAAATTAAGTTGAAGTGATTCTTATAATTGGCAGCAATAATGCATTGGGAAGGTAATATCTTTTATTGTGTTATGCCTAGTTGCATTATCTTTTATTTAGCTGGTCCTGACTCCAGCTCTGCAGAGAAGACAAGCAGGAGCAGATCAGGAATTTTGTGGATTTACGTGATAAAAACTTGAAATGTTACCCAATATTAAAGTCATTCTTCTGCTCTTTTTTTTTTTTTTTTCATTTTTTAGCCCATTTTCAGTTCCCCTGAACCTGACACAAGGCTCATTTGATTAAAATTTCATCTGTTTTCCTTGTATTGGAGTAGTTGCCCTGTATTTACATCAGGCTGAGCCTGTAAGAGCCGAGCACTCCAGGCTCACTGTGTCAGGTGCTGATTTGGGCAGTGAATTTTGTATTTCCGTGTGCCTCTTACAGAAAAGTGTGAACTCACTCTTACAGCAAGCCCCTCCATGGTTTTCAAGGAGTAGATCCTCAAATCCCAGAATCCCTGAGGCTGGAAAAGCCCTCCCAGCCCAGGGAGTCCCAGCTGTGCCCCATCCCCACCCTGTCCCCAGCTCTGAGTACCACCCCCAGGTGCCACCTGCAGGGATGGGCACTGCAACCCTCCCTGGGCACTTCCTGAGCCCCCTTTCCATGGGGAAATTCCTGCTGTGCCCACCCTGAGCTGCCCTGGCCCAGCCTGAGGCCGTTCCCTCTGCTCCTGTCCCTGTGCCCTCCTGGCAGGAGCTGTGCAGAGCCACAAGGGCCCCTGAGCCTCCTTTGCTCCAGGCTCAGCCCCTTCCCAGCCCCCTCAGGGATTCTGCAGCCCCTGCCCGGCTCCCTCAGGGATTCTGCAGCCCCTGCCCGGCTCCCTCAGGGATTCTGCAGCCCCTGCCCAGCTCCGTTCCCTGCCCTGGCCGTGCTCCAGCACCTCCATGCCCTTCTTGTCCTAAGGGGCCAGAGCTGGGCACAGCACAGAGGGAATTGTACTTGTATATAGATAACTAGATATGTAGCCAGTACCTTAGACACATCTGGAAAATTAAGATTACTGCACCATGACTTTTCCTTTGCATGAGATTTCATGGATTCATGGAGTATCCTGAGTTGAAAGGGACTTGTTGAAACTCAACCCAGTAACAACAAAATAGGTTTTTTCGGGGGACCCTCTAATTGTTAAGAGGCAAGATTCTTGATTTTTGATTCTTTAGTACATTTATTTATTTATCGTTTGGAAACAAATTCCTTAATTATTTTTAAATATATATATTATAATTATAAAAAATCAGTGTTTTATTCTCTCCGACGATGTTAAAATATTGAACAACTCAACAAAATATAACATTGCTTTGTAATGCTTCTAAGTGAATCTTCTGCCATAAGATTTCCAGCTTCAAAAATGAGGAGCTGGAGGACTTAATCCCTTTTGTACATCCTTGGAAGGACAAGAGGGACAATGTGCTTCCCCTCCCCTTGGAAGTGACACCAGGATTCGTGGTTTTTGGGCTGGTTCCTGGTGGGATTTGCAGGTACTAACTCGGTGCACGCACTTGTTGCCATAATCTGATGATTCCAGGAATATCTGGCACTATCCTGTCCACTTTCCCTCCCCTTGGGGCTCCATTTCTTACACAGTTTAATTAATTATAAAATCTCTTGGCAGCCCCCAGTTTGATGCGATGCCCTGAATAACTCCGTGTCCCCACCATGATCGGGAATTTTTAAACCAAATTAACACCACACTTAATGTCATTCTACTTCTGTGCTGTGTGTAAGTAGAAGCAGAGAATTGTTTGGGTAGGAAAACACCTCAGAGGTCATCAAATGTTATTCTTTGCTTTGTGTCATTGATATCACACGATATCAGTATCCTGATTGATGTATATGTGCTTTATTATGGTATCTATGCTTTGAGTGCCACGTGGCTGCTGTGCCTGCAGCCCATTTAAATTTCCTGTATAAGTAATAGCTGGGGAAAGATGCAGGATGTGTTTACTTGTTTTTGGAGAGGTTCTGGAGGAAACAATACAGCAGAATTCCTGTTTGAGCAGCCTGCTGGGGTCTGCTGTTCAAGTACCAGCTCCAGTCCAAGCTTGGCGTGAGCAGCAGATGGAGTTGAAAACTGCACTTGTTGAGTGTGGAGCGCAGGAGCTGTAACCCACCTGCCCCTTCCAGGGGAGTTGCAATGGGTTTATTGCAATTGCAGTGCCCTTCCAGTAAAACCAAGCAGTCAGGGCCAGCCCTGAGTGCTGGGAATTGCTCGTTGCTCCTGTCTGCCAAAGCAGCGACTGAAGGCGCAGCCAAAGAGCCAGAGGCGACCACTGCTTGGAAAGGCACTTCCCAGCTTGGCATTTCGGGGGCTTCTGGGTGCCATCCAAAGAGGATTAGTAGGATAATGCGATGGGACAACAGGAACTTGCTTTTGTTGTCTTTGATTGTTTAATAAAGAATTACGTGTTTGCTCTCCTCGAAGACTTTTGAAATGCCGTGGAAAGCAAATGTTGCTCCATGTGAGCACGTATCCCCCTGGTTTTTGGGGGCTTGTGTGAAGTGGGCCTTTGGATAAGAAAAGAGGAGCACTGATTTTGAGTGTTTATGCCAGTG